CACAGAGCTATTTATAATTTGTAGCCTCAGGTGGGACTAGGATCCTAGCATCCAAATGCCAGCCCATTTAAGCTATTAACTACCTTGCCAGGTCATTTCTAAAACCCCAAACAGTATAACATATAATAACGGTAATAAAATACAGTGCTCAGTAAATGTTTGAATGAATAAACATTTTCTCTAAAACCACAGAGCTATGTAGAATGAACAAAGCGCAGAAAGACTGAAATAAAGAAACTAATTCCTTCTGCAGAACATAAACCTCAGGCTGGGCATGGTGTCTCACACCTGTAATTCTAGCACTTTGGGAAGGCCAAGGCAGGAGGATCACTCGAGAGCAGGAGTTTGAGACCAGCCTGAGCAACAAAGCAAGACCCCATTTCTAAAAAAAAAGAAAAATTAGCCAGGTGTGGTGGCATGTGCTGCAGTGAGCTATGATGATGCCACCACACTCTAGCCTGGGCAACAAAAAGTGACACCCACTCTCAAAAAAAAAAAAAAAAACCTAAAACCTCAAACTAATGCTATTTAATGCCTGAAACACATTAAATGGTAGTGTGGCACTTTCTTGGAATTGTGTTATTTTTAAAAGTGCTATCATTGAAGTTCTATTGTTGTGACATCCTTCCCTCTCCCTCATCCCAAATACTTAAGAATCCCATCTATGTGACTCTAGTGGGTCAAAGATCTGGAGCTCGCTGGGCACAGTGTTTCACATTTATAATCCCAGCACTTTGGATAGATGCCAAAGTGGGAGGATTTCTTGAGGCCAGGAGTTCGAAACCAGCCTGGACAACATGGTGAGACCCCTGTCTCTACCAAAAATAAGAAAAATTAGCCAGGTGTGGTAGTGCATGCCTATAATCCTAGCTACTAGGGAGGCCGAGGCAAGAGGATCATTGAGCTCAGGAGTTGAAGTTGCAGTGAGCTATGATCATGCCACTGCACTCCAGCCTGGGAGATACAGTGAGACTCTGTCTCAAAAAGAAAAATGAAAAAATAAAATCTGGAGTTAAATCCTAGCTCTTTCATTTACCAGCTGAGTGGCTTAAGCTTCAGTTTCCTCCTGTGTAAAACGGGGCAAAGAGCAAACTAATCATTAGATTGTTGATTAAATAAGAATCTCTAAAATTGAAAATAAGCACTTACTATTAGTGAAGAAGTTAAGGATGATCCACCCAAAAATGCCAACTTGGTATATTGATTATTTCTAGCTGAAGGCACTTAAACTATAGTTGCAGGCTATCTGACCTGTCATTTTCTGCATGTAGCAAGGCATAAAAATTCCTTTGAAAAGGATGCCTTCCCTCCTACCAGGGCTCTCAAAATAACCTTTATCACCAGACACTGGGAACTGTTGCTGCAATGGACCTACACAAATAAACTTACTCAAGAAATCCTTACCTTCCACTAGCTCTAATCCTCCCCACCCCCATCTATCTCCTAGTGGCTTCCCTGGAATTTACTGCCTCTAGCCCTTTGTCCTGCCATTTCTTCACACATATATCATTCTTTGTCTAAAGAAAGTATAAAAACTTTCTGCTTTGGCCATTTCTTAGGGTCTTCACTCTTGTGAGGGTCCCATGTACATGCAAAAATAGAATAAAACTTGCATGTTTTTCTCCTGTTAATCTGCCTTGTATCAATTTGATCCCCAAAGCCAGCTGAATCCCACTCAAGAACTAAGATAGGCGGAGGGGATCTTTAGCCTCCTCTGTTAGCTAATGGACAAAGCACTCTTATATCTTTCTTCTCATCTAATCTTCCTATCTGGTGGGATTATCATAACCATATTCATTTATTCATAAGAAAAATGAGATCCAGAAAAGAGAAGAGAGTTAACCAAGATCTCACAACTGGTAGTTGCAGGGCCAGCAGTCGAAACCAGGTCAGCAACACTTCCAAGCCCAGAAGATGAGGTACAGTAGGTGCACTAAGTTCAGAAGTCTTAGCGCACCCAAAGAGTCAAACAAACTTGGTGCTGGCCTGAACGCTCCTCCTCCAGCACTCAAGGGAAGGAACAATGGCTCTGGAGCTCCCAAGGGGCACTTTGTAGGAATCAAGAGCATGCATGGCTCCATGCAGGTAGGAGCTCCACATGCTGTATGGTATTCTGTTGAATGAAGCTAGCTTTGTAGATGTTTTTATCTATTTTAACTTGATGCCAATATTTGCATTATTTCAGAATGTCATTTTCAATTATTCCTGCGGGGGCACTGGCACCTAGAGAAAAACTGGACAAAGACAAATGTGAAAACAGAAGCTACACCATATTTAGCTTCTCCCAGGTACATATCTGTCCTCATCTACTGTTCTACTGGAAAGTGTCCAGGGTAATTTCAGGGCCCAGAGATCCTAGTCCTTCCATCCCCCATTAGTCTCAGGGACCCTAGACTAACGTGGTTGTTTGGCTCTTTAAAAAATCCTTTGGGCCCTTTCCCTAACATGGTTTTTCCCCAATGACTTAAAAGGCTCGGCCCAAACTACAGTTATCATGTAACTCATTTTTCTAGTTTTGCTTACTCAGCATGTGCTGGCCTACATATCCACTCAGAAGTGGTTAGAATTATAATATAACCCATAGTTAAGGGAGCTTGAGGATTTTTTGGGCCAAGGTAGTCTTCACTCAGATAAAGGTATAATTTGTTAGGCTTTTGGAATTACTAAGGCTCAGGAAACAACAATCTAGGAATACCTTTTTGAAAAGAAATGAACACAAAACATGGTACATACTTAATAATAAAATTATTTTTCAGCCTTAAAAAAAATTCTAACATATGCTATAGCATGGATGAATCTTGAAGATATTAAGCTAAGTGAAGTGAAATAAGCTAGTCACAAAAAGAAAAATACCATGTGATTCCACTTGTATGAGGTACATATTGCCAGGGGCTGGGAGAAGAGGAGTTATTGTTTAGTGGGTATAGAGTTTCAGTGTGCAATATGAAAAGAGTTCTGGAGGTGGACGATGCTGACGGTTGCACAACAATATGAATGTACTTAATATCACTGAATTATACACTTAAAAATGGTTAAGATTGTAAATTTTGTGATATGTATTTTACCACAATAAAAACGAAAAAAAAAAGAAAGGAACAGCTTGAACACTAAGATTCTCAGCTACAGTATTAGCATTGTATCATCGGAGCCAAAAGCAGCTACATAATAGATGTGCATCTTTATGCCCAACCCCCAATTTTCCTTCTCTTCCTTCTGCTGAATGAAATATCTCCTTGTTCTGCCACTGAAAACCAGCTCAGGAAATTCAGTGACTCTCAGCTATCAGTCTGTGCTAGAGACTGTGGCTAGGCAGATGGGTGTAGCAAAGAGAATGCACCCTTCACAACCAAACTGCTCCCTCGTGTGGCTGCAGCATCTCCCCTAGAGAAAAACAGAAACCCCCACCCCCACCTCCCAGCAGGAACAGATTTCTTTCCCAGTTAAAGGCATAACTTTTAGCTGTTATATTGGTACCATCAAACTGAATTATCAGGGGGAAAAAAAATCTATCTTTAATTTCTTCCAAATGAAATCAAGACATTTTTCCCACATTTCAAAAACGAAGACACCTGTTTCATGCAATAAACAATTCACAGGATCCAAAGAAACCAGTTTCTCATCAATTTTTTCCCAGTAAAATGCCATTTGTTAGGATTTACAAGAGCACACTCACCAATATATTGCCTTAGGAAATCTTTTTTAAAGACACATACTTTCATCATTTAAATTTGACACTTGGGGTCGGGTGTGGTGGCTCACGCCTGTAATCCTAGCTCTCTGGGAGGCCGAGGCAGGCGGATTGTTTGAGCTCAGGAGTTCGAAACCAGCCTGAGCAAGAGTGAGACCCCGTCTCTACTAAAATTAGAAAGAAATTAATTGGACAACTAAAAATACATAGAAAAAATTAGCCGGGCATGGTGGCGCATGCCTGTAGTCCCAGCTACTCGGGAGGCTGAGGCAGAAGGATCGCTTGAGCCCAGGAGTTTGAGGTTGCTGTAAGCTAGGATGATGCCACGGCACTCTAGCCCGGGCAACACAGTGAGACTCTGTCTCAAAAAAAAAAAAAAAAAAAAAATTTGACACTTGGGACCTAAAATTACTTTATAGCTAGGATTTTTAAAAAACACTTAAGAAACTGCTTAACTGTTCAAAGAACTTTTCTGTAAATAGGCTTACTATATGAAAAATGTTCTTAAAATTATCTGTTTAATATACCTCTTCATCATTTTATGATTTTGCTGGACAACTAGGGCATTTCACAGGGATCACTCTTTCTCCAGAAATTCTGGCTCGGAGTCCTAGGCTCCTGCAGTATGCTACCTTTGAGCAATCCTCCGTACTTACTAGGGCCTATCAGAAACTGAATGCTTATACCCAGCATGGCAGCATAAGCTAAGTGAACCTTAAATTTTATTTTTGGTTGAAATTATATCAACTCAGTGTAGAAATGCTAGTATCTCACTCTGATTAGAAAGGTCTTTTCAAAATGAAAACAACTTTATCGGATAAATCCAATTTATCAAATGAATTGTTTCAAAATAGGTACAACAATAAGAGATAAATGGATGGATACTCTTGGTCTACACTCGGAAAATTTAAAACTGGGAGAAAGAAGAGGCAGAATATTATCTATGGTTTTAAAGACTAAGAATAGAATGGGCAAACATTTCATCCAAGATTTCTGGTGTCTCTGACTATTCCCCTGGGTGCCTGCTGCCTTTGGACACAGATCTGCTTGATAGAGTCTCAGGCACACTCTTTGATAACTGCAGAATAACCAAAATGACAATCTCCAGGACAGAAATACCTAGAAGAAAACAAGCCATCGCCAATTACAGTACCTTAAATTTGAATGACCACATGGTCAAATAAGGAACTATCAATCCAACAAAGAACATAATCACCACAAGACATATTTTCTACATATTAACATTTACTTGTAAATTTAAAGGCAGAAAGGCTAAAGGCCCTAGCAATGAGGCATAAGCAATCAGACATGGTATAAATTAATTAAAAAGTTTATTGGCCATAGAAAAAAACTGATTCCTCAAAATCAATTCTTCTTAAGTCCCCTGTAAACAGCAAGCTTACAGAAAATTTCCTTCTCATGAACAGAAAATCACTATACTTTTGGTCCAAGATATGTTGGGTTTTTTCCTTCTTCTTCAAATGACAGATGGATGTAACTGAATCTATGAACGAGTGTACTTGCCCCAAATGTGCAACATAAATACAGAAGCGATGAACAGAAGACTCATAACCAATACTGGAACGGGGCCACTAGAAATAAGAAAAGAAAGCATGCTTACTGTTAGTAATAAATATTATATTTTTAACACTAGAGATTTTCTAGGGGAAGGGGGGGGGGAGGGAGAGAAGCACTTAAGAGTCCCCCAGGAACATCATTTACATCATTTTAAAATAGTCCAAAAATTATTATTGTGGACATTTTGAGGGTGTCACAACAGCATTGCAGTTATCTTTCAGTAAAACATACCAAAATATATATGAATAAAATGATCTGATGTCTTAGAGACACTGGTCTTACTAATTTCATATATTTGATATTTTCTAAAACAAAAAGAAGAAAAATGTCTTACGCTCTTTAAGTGTAAATGATCCAATTACCAAACTATTTTTCTTCAAATTAAGATTTATTTAAAGACAATCTTCTTGAGAAGGGTTTAAAATGAGTCCCCTGAAGAACAAGGTGCTTCAATTTACTCTCTGAAATATTTAGAAAAATGACATCTAACAAAGACCAAAAGGTTGGCAGTCAGAATGCCACCAACTCACATACGCCCAACCCCATGAATTGCTTCCTAAATACATTCTTACCTTATCATACAAGACTCCAATAGAAAAAAAAAAAAAATCAATCAGTAAATAAAACCAAATCTCAAGAATTCCAGGGAAGCCTTCATAAGCTAAATTTGTGATCCAAGTCAAGCTGCTGGTCAAATTAATTAAACTAACCCAAATTAACTCAATTTTGTCTCTTTTGTACCAGACAGACAGTATGGAAAGAGTATGGGATTAAACAGTCAGAATATCTGGTTCCATCTCTTGCTGTTTGTCTTCGAGCATGTCAGTTTGCTTCTCTGAACATGAGTTCCTCATGTGCAAAATGGTAACATCTCTCACCTCACAGGACTGCTGGGCAGATCAGACTAAAAACTAGACATTGAAAGGTCTTTACAAAGCACCAAGTGCTATGCAAATGAGAGTTGCTGTTATTATTCCAAATAATTCCTTATGCACTGGGTTTTGTCAGGAAACAGCTGTACGCAGTGGTGTTCTGGGGCCTACTCTGATCAGAAACCTGTGGGATGAGGTCTGCCACACAGTACCAGAAACACTGGCCAATGACGTGAGCAAGGGATGGGGACAGGGGTCCCCTGGATGCCCACTTCCCATCACCCTCATGAGCACTCCCAGGCCTAAAAACTTGGAAAGTGGTATGTTCACCCTCCAGGGTGTACTCACCACCCTGCAAAGGCAAGGAGGCAAGGAACTTTTGGTAACATGGCCTAATGGAAAAACTTCCATTAGGTTATAATAATATCAGCTTACGCCTCCAGGAGAACTTTGAAAAATCACCCAAATCCTATTCAAATGATTACTCCTATTTCTCAGTGTGAGGCAAGACCACCAAATGAAGAGCAATTTCATCTAATTAAGCAGTTTTCCCTCCAGTTCTCTCTGTTCCCATCACTTACTCTGACACAGCTACATGGAAGATCTCCCTTCCTTTCCCCCACTCCATGAAGAGATGTCATTCCAGGACCTGCACTGTCTTATTGGTTGATTAATGGGCATACCAAACTTCAGCCCACCTGGTACAAATGAAGCCGCTGCGTACCATAAATCTCACCGAAGAAAGGGCCACTAGTGGTAGAGAGAGAGAGCGCTGCTGCCGCTCTGTTGACACTGGACAGAAACACAAGGTCTGTTCCCAAGACTTACACTTTGAGCCCAGGTGAATCTTCTGTGTAGAATCGCCACATGCCCCCGGTGCCTGCCGAGGTCGTGCGGCCTGCACTCCTTGTTCCACAGCTGGCATTTTTTCTGTAAAAGAGGAAAATATTACGAATGGTCCTTTTTTAGAAATCTTTATAATAGCATAATAACATATGTTACCACTATACTGTAAAGAACCAACAGAAAGAAAAATTTTTCTTTGCTAATATCTACCCAAATTCCTGCTTTTACTCTTCTGATCATGATAACCACGATGAACTAAGTACCTGCCAGACGCCAATGTGTACAACAACCCTCAAAAGCAGTTACTATTTTCATTTTATCAAGTAGGAAAATTAGTCTCAGAAGAGGTTAAGCAAAGTGCCTAAGATCGTACAGCCAGCAAGTGACCGAGCTGGGATGTGGACCTATTCTGAACCCAGAGCCCATCCACTTGCCCACAACATTCGGCCGCTTCACTTGGACAGTGCATTTCATTTTCTCTTCGCATGTATTTTTGTGAAGCCAAGTAGTAAAACACTGTGCAAAAATGCCCTGAATCCATATGATCTGATCTTAAAATGACTAATTTAAAAGATGTTTTAAAATTACTATATTAACTACAAAAGAGACAAAAAAAAAAAACTTTAAGCTTTAATTGTACCCAGGTCCTAATATACATTTATATTAAAAATTACTTTGTAATCTTTTTCCACTGTTTTGACATAGTGACCACAGATCTTGCAGAGAGAGGCAGGATTTGAAAAAATGCAGACTCTAACACTCAATCGGAACTTGTCCCCCACAAGGGGATCAAGGCTCATGAGATGAGCTGTATGATACAGGTAACTCTGGCAAACAGAAGCAACCTAACAGCACTTACTCTGTTGACCAGGAACGGAGAGGCCCTCAGTCACGGGGGAACCCCACTCAGCAACTATCCTCCCACTCAGTACTTCCCCAATCCCGGCTGCTCATCTCATTGCTAGAGTGGTATGACATGGGGTAAGTAGTAAGTGGTGAGAGAAGTCAGAAGCAATCTTCTTCAGCCCACTTATTACCAACTCAGAAGTCCTAAGTGGGGAGGAGAGATGCTCCCACCATTAATCAAATCCTATTCCATTATCTGTGGGTTGCAGATTCTGGGATTTTGAAAAGAGGAAGGGCATACAGGAAAGAAACAGAAAACTCTATCCTCACCATCTCCTCTTGCTTTCCTCCCAACTCTAGTCCTAGTGCCCACCTCACTCAGCCATGGCCTTTATACCACACTCTGAATGCAAGAAGCACAGTCTATAGCTTCTTGGCTCTAGTTGGCGTTCCAGCAGAAGGAGCCGTGTTCATGCCAGAACTTGGAAAGCAATCAGTGACAATGAATTGGGTTGATTGTACTACAAGGATTACATTTCAGACACATTAGTTACGGGCTACCTGGTAGCCTGGGAACTTATAACTTCACTGTATGACTGTTTCTATGGGAAAACTGATTGTAAATAGCAAACATAACTGTATAGGGATTTACACAGTAATTCATGCACTTAGAAAAGCTTTCACAACACAGATCCGTATCATTTAATCTGTGGGGTAGGTACCTGAAAGTTTTCTCCTTGTTCATAAAAAGGAACCTGAGCTAGAAGATAAACCCACTGTGGACATACTAAGTTACAGGCTGAGGCAGGACTTGGACTCACACTTTCTACTCTCCCACAATCTCCCACCTCCAGTTCCTGACTTCAAAGTCTCCTGGAATTACAGGAGTCCCAGAGGAATCAGGCTGGCCTCTTTTTAAGATTTCTTACTTCTGCTGGCACGTGGTACATAGCAGAGGATTTGAAAACCAGGACCCCCCAAGAAATACCAAAATGTACTAAAAATACCCCCGATTCCCTAGGGGAAGCTACGTAAAGGTTAATAGAGTCCACTTTAATCTCTCAAATTTCTATTTGGGGTCTATTTTGCCCTTTCTTTCAGGCCACCGTATACCTGCCTCCCTACCTCAACGCAATGGTTTTCGTAACTAACTGCTTACATACTTTGTTCTAACGTCATGACCTTTGGCTGTTCCTCAAAGCCAAGCTCATTGACCTCACAATCTTTACACTTAACCATTCCTTCTGCGTAGAAAGCCTATTCCTCCCCACATCACTGCATGATTTGCACCCTTGCGTCTTTCAAGTCTCTTATCAAATGTCACCTACTCTGAACACCTTATCTAAAATAACTACCTATCCTCACCCTATCCCCACTGCTCTCTACACCCCACCCAGCTTCATTTTTCTTTTACATTTATTTATTACATTTACTTATTTTCCTTGCTTATGGTTTTCCATGCAGGAGTTTAAGGGTCATAAGGGCAAACCCTGCCTATCTTGTTCACAGATATATCCTCAGAGCTGAAACAGCACTGGGCATGTAGTAGACCCTCAATAACTACATGATGACTGGCCTAACATCCCTGGCTATTCCACCATCCTAATATCCCTAATTCCCATTAATCCTGCTAGAACACCATATAAGCACTTCACAGCTTTACAGTTTACAAAGCATTACTGTTCCTTTTCATCCTCAAAACAACTTCCTTGTACACTGTATTTAGCAGAGCAAGGACTCCAACCCCAGCCTGACCTTAAATCCCACATTGTTTCTTCTCCCATGGTACTGACTCTATTACCTCACTGACCATGAAGAATGCAAATCTGCAGACTACATAATCCAAAGCATTATTATTAACCATTAGCTTCTACATTTTCTCAAAGACTTACAAAGCAAAGATATAGTCTTTGACGACCAATACTTATTACATATTACACTTGTGAAATACTACTTAACTGCCAAATTTCTAGAAGAAAACACTGTCAGGTCTTTCCATATATACGGCCATGGCCTGTCTAGTTACACTGGCTCCATCATACTGAATCCTAAAAGATGACATCGATACCCACAACTTTAAAAGATGCATCTGTCCTCAAATGTTTTAAGTTCTCCATTTCACTTGTGCATTATGTATTTCATTTTTATTCTTAAATAAGTTATTTCATTATTATATTTACATTTGATAAATATGTCCTTTCTCTTTTTCCTTTTCTTTAGGAATTCTAAGATGGCCAAACTTCTCTGCCACAGTACTACCAATTCTCATTAACCAGACCCATTCCCCACTGTACCCACAGGACACATTTGCCATCCCTGCACAAAGAATCTTTGGAGTCCAGGATGGGAATGGGACAGCACTCCAAGCCCATATAACTTAAACCACAGCTTGATGATACACTTCTTTTGAACATCTCAGTGACAGAGAACTCACAAGTGTTCAGGATAATCTTACCATTTCTGACAGGTCTATTAGCTCTTGCTGTTGGCAAAATCAGAGTAGATCTCAAGAGGAAATAACCCCTGAGATTAGTCTTGGAAAATAAATAGAAAACTGCCTTGAGGTGGGGGAGAAAGTGAGTTCAGAAAACAGTAGTAAGCTCATTATTGCTAGATCACAGGAGAAAGAGAAGAGAGAGGTTGGCCTGAAAGGACCACCAAGAGCTTTTGGTATTGCGTCCTCTTTTTTTTTTTTTTTTTTTTTAAGCTTAGCAACAAGAAAATAACAGAAAAACTAAGCAGGAGAGTAACAGCAGAATGAAATATGGATTGAAATGGAAATGACCTGGAGAGAAAAATTAGACAGCAAATGCAGAAGTAGATAAGTGGTTGAGGATAAAGTTGGAGTAGAAGAAATGAAGTAGGAAAGAACTAACAAGGTTTTTGTGTAGAATTTAATGTCTGGCATATGACTGGATAGAGAGAGCAGATAAGAAAAATCCAAGATGACGCTGAAGTTTCTGATTCTGGGTAAAGGAATATATAGTAGTGCCATATGGAAGTAACAAGATATAACTGGAAGCGGGGGAGCTGGGAACTGGAGTGAAAGGAGACTTAGTTTTGTGTTGGACAGGTATGTTAGGTTGTGTATGGGGCCTCCAGATGGAAACATAAGTGCAAAGCTCACGTCTAGAGACATTAGTTTAATGACATCAGTTTTACCAAAGTTATCTCAGGCTCTATTCCAGTTTGTTAACTTTCCTTTTTTAAGAGTGGCTCCCGAAATCGAGCAACGAGAAGAAAATGTCGCCTTCCTTCCAAAAACCCTTTACTCCCACGGCCACGTCACCAGAAGCTCATTTTGCCCTTGTGAATATTTTTTTTTTTTTGGCGGGGGACAGGGTCTCACTCTGCCGTCCCAGATAGAGTGCAATGGCGTCATCAACCTAAAACTACTGGGCTCAAGCGATCCTCCTGCCTCAGCCTCCCGAGTAGCTGGGATTATACGTGTGCGCCACCACGCCCAGCGAGACGGGGTCTCGCTCTTGCTCAGGCTGATCTCAAACTCCTGACCTTAAGCAATCCGTCCTCTTTGGCCTCCCAAAGTGCTAGGATTACAAGCGTCAGCCACCGCGCCCGGCCCCTTGTGAATCTTAATATACTAGGGTCTCCTCCTCAAAACTAGCGAAATCTTGTGCCCCATCTCTCTGAGTCCGCAACCGAACGGGAGCAGGGATCTTTACCTTTGCCGGACAGTGGATCCCGCCGCCCGGGCGGCCACTGCTTTGCTGGGAGAGCGCCCTGAAGAACCCACGTTAGTGCCACTGGGGGTCGGACCGGGCTGTAAAGGAAGACAAGGAGAAAGACGGGTGAGCCCAGCGGGCCTACCCCCAGACCCCCGGCCCTGACGGCCGAGTCCGGCACCCGCACAGGAAGCTGGGGAAAGCGAGGGAGGAAGGCCGCCTGGCAGAGGCGAGGATCAAGGAGGAAAGGCTGGGGCCGGCATACCATGGTGGACACTGGAGGGTGGCTGGGCGCTGTAGTGGACGGCCAGAAAGTTTCGGAGCCTCTAAAGGACCGGTAGCCACAGAGACTGGCTAAGGCCCCGCCCCCAGACCTGAGGCCGGGTCCTCGCTGACTCCAGGGACGCCTGGGTTGTCCCACAAAATGCCTGCAGACATTCTGCTATAGGCGACTTGGTTAGCTGCTGCGTGGGAAATACAGACCTCCAATCTCCTACGTTTGGATCACGGCGTCCTTCATAGAGTCCGAGAACTACCAAAGGGAGGATATAACCAGGGTCAGACGAGAAATTTTCTCCGGCAGTTACTAGGCGCCAACAGATTTGCGCTGATGTGGCCTAGCGGACGCACGCACGGCGGGCGGAGTCAGCCCGCAGCGGCCCGCTGGGAGCCGGGGGCGGAGCTTGCGCGAAAGCCCCTCCCTTCCCCTCAGCGCGCTGGGCCAAGGTGCGGTTCCCAGGCCATGGCGGAGAAGCGGGACCGGGACCGGGACCGGGATCCGGTTCCCAACCCGTCAGTGCTATTCCTGCACCCGGACCTGGGCGTGGGCGGCGCTGAGCGGCTGGTGCTGGACGCGGCACTGGCGCTGCAGGCGCGCGGATGTAGCGTGAAGATCTGGACAGCGCACTATGACCCGAGCCACTGCTTCGCCGAGAGCCGGGAGCTGCCGGTGCGCTGCGCCGGGGACTGGCTGCCGCGCGGCCTGGGCTGGGGCGGCCGCGGCGCCGCGGTCTGCGCCTACGTGCGCATGGTCTTCCTGGCGCTTTACGTGCTGTTCCTCGCGGACGAGGAGTTCGACGTGGTCGTGTGCGACCAGGTGAGGCGGCTGCGCCAGTGCGGACCTCACTGTGCAGGGTGCGCCGCAGGCATGACCTCTGAGGGAGGACTTCTCCGGTTTGCAGTTCGGAAAGATCGGAACTGACCTGGAGAAGTAAGGGCTGGGAGCGAGCCTGTGGTTCTCTAACTTTAGCATGGACCCGTTAAAGCTGTAGGTTGAAGCCCCGCCCCAGCTCCAGGAAGTTTTTATCCTGGAGCCCGGAGGTGGGGCCAAAAAATCTGCATTTTTAACTGCATCTTGGGGTGCTTCTGAAGCAGATAGGCCTTAGGGCTCGCTTTAAGAAACTCTAGCGTTGGAAGTCAGCTTCGGTCACCTTTTAATTCTGAGTAACTCGTGTGTTCTCCCTATGTGTTAAAAACACAAGCTGAATTTGTCATGCCCTTATTAAAACTTTAACATGGCTCCCCATTGGTCTTTGGAGAAAAGTCCAAGTTTTTTTTACCCTGATAAGTAATGTCCACCTGGATCTGCCATGTAGCTGTTCTAGACTTTATCTTTGTTACTTTTTCCCCCTTAAAAAAATTTATTTTAAAAAGTAACATTTATTCAACTGAAAATTCAATAGTATAGAAGGGTGTAGTATAAAAGTCTCATCTCATTTGATTCTCTGAAGATAGCCACTGTTAACAGTTTCTCCAGTATCCTTCCAGAAGTTGTCTGTGGCTGCACCAGCATATGTGTGTCTCTTTGTAGGTATATCTTCTTATTTGTACATAATTAGGATTATGAATAGCTGCTATTGGGCACCTTGCCTTTTTCCAGCAAAAATTTCTACTTGGGACATCCTTATATATCAATATTAGAGATTGACTTCATTCTTTATTGTGGCTGGAAAATCCGGTTTTGTTTAAATGTACCATGATTTAAACATTCTTCTGTTAAAGGATACTAATGTTGTAACAACCAATTTTTTGTGATTACAATGAACATCCTTCTACTTCATTTTTTGTACTTCTGCAAACATGTCCTTTCAGTAAATTCTTAAAGTTAGTAAGTCAAAGAGTTGTTCATTTTAAATGTCGATATCTATTGCCAAATTTGCCTTCCAAAGAGGTTATGTCACTTTACACTCCCACAACGTATGACAGAGCCTGTTACTCCAGGCACTTGTCCCATTGGATATTATCAACCATTTTAATCTTTGCTAAACTGATAGATGGAAATGGCATCACATTTGTATTTGTGTTTCTTTAATTATGACTCCTGAGTTACTTTTGATCATCCTTGCTTGTGTGGAAGCGTTCTTTTTAAGTAATATGGACATTTACCAAACATCCTGCATGTGTCAGTAAGCACAAGGCAGGTGAGACTGTACTGGGTAGAGAAAAAATTCTGGGCTTGGAAGTAGGAGACCTAGATTCAAGTTCTGTATCTGCTGCTTTAACTAAGTCACTTTGAATAAATTGCACATTATCCCTAAAGTTTACCTTCAGGTGTTAATTAAGTGAGCTGAGAATTAAGTGACTTATAACAATTACTGAAAAAAAAAGTCTGTTGATGCCAGCATGTATTAATATTTCATGCTCAATTATGACTATAGTTAGTATTTATGTACTAAATGCCAAGTATTTTACGTATAGCGGTGCATTTAATAATCATAAAAAGTATATGGGTTTTTTGAACTATAATTGTCACCATGTTGCAGAAGAGGAAACTGAGGCCCAGGATGGGGTAAATTACTTAATCACACAGAGCTGAAATTCAGACCCTGCCAATCTTGACTCCAGAGCCCGTGCTCTAAACTACTGTATTTCATTCATTTCCATTCCTTAGGAGGAGAAGGATCCTGAAGCTACATTTGTCCTGTATAGTAGCCACTAGCCACACGTGGCTGTTGAGCACTTGAAGTGTGGCTAGTCTGAACTGAGATCTGCTAAAGTATAAAATAAAAACATGATTTTGAAGATTTAATGTGAAAAAAAGAATATAAATATCTCATTAATATCTTTTAGTGTTGATTACATTTTGAAATGATAATGATTTAGATAAAATGTATTAAAATTAATTTCACCCTTATAGCATGTTTAATGTTACTAGATTTTTATTTTATTTCTATTGGATAGCACTGTACAAGAGGAAACCACTGGACTTGAAGCTTTAAATGTTTAGAACACATCTAGCAAACGTCTACCAACCGTCTATACACAGGCATTGTATGGGTGAGAGTCTGGGGGAACAAGGCAGAATCAGACATTGTCCCTAAGGAGCCCATAGACAAGTAGACAGGATGGTGTCTGTGCCATAGGGTTGTGTTGAAGTTGAGTTGACCAGTCACTTTTTCTGCTATTGGTTTTTGCTTTGGCTAGGTGTCTGCCTGTATCCCCGTGTTCAGGCTGGCCAGACGGCGTAAGAAGATCCTGTTTTACTGTCACTTCCCAGATTTGCTTCTCACCAAGAGAGATTCTTTTCTTAAACGGCTGTACAGGGCCCCAATCGACTGGATAGAGGAATACACCACAGGCATGGCAGACTGCATCTTGGTCAACAGCCATTTCACAGCTGCTGTTTTTAAGGAAACATTCAAGTCCCTGTCTCACATAGACCCTGACGTCCTCTACCCATCTCTGAATGTCACCCGCTTTGACTCAGCTGTTCCTGAAAAGCTCGATGACCTAGTCCCCAAGGGAAAAAAATTTCTGTTCCTCTCCATCAACAGATATGAAAGGAAGAAAAATCTAACTTTGGCACTGGAAGCCCTAGTGCAACTGCGTGGAAGACTGACATCCCAAGATTGGGAGAGGGTTCATCTGATCGTGGCAGGTGGTTATGACGAGAGAGTCCTAGAGAATGTGGAACACTATCAGGAGTTGAAGAAAATGGTCCAACAGTCTGACCTTGACCAGTATGTGACCTTCTTGAGGTCTTTCTCAGACAAACAGAAAATCTCACTCCTCCATGGCTGCACGTGTGTGCTTTACACACCGAGCAATGAGCACTTTGGCATCGTCCCTCTGGAGGCCATGTACATGCAGTGCCCAGTCATTGCTGTTAATTCGGGTGGGCCCTTAGAGTCCATTGTCCACAGCGTCACAGGGTTTCTGTGTGAGCCTGACCCATTGCACTTCTCAGAAGCAATAGAAAAGTTCATCCATGAACCTTCCTTAAAAGCCACAATGGGCCTGGCTGGAAGAGCCAGGGTGAAGGAAAAGTTTTCCCCTGAAGCATTTACAGAACAGCTTTACCATTATGTCACCAAACTGCTAGTATAATCAGATTCCTTTTAAGATGTTTATACTATATTCATTAATGTCATTTTTATGGATTGTAAACCCAGTTTTGAAACCAAAAAACCTAGAATCTAGTGCAGAAGAGATTTTTTTAAAAAAATAAACATAAGTCTTGAATCTGAGCCACCTTTCTATATACCATACCTCCCTGTCTGCTTTTTCAGAAAAAGAGCATCTTTTATGCTGTAATCATTCCGAGTCTTACCAGTGTTAAGTTATAACTATGGTACAATTCTGTGTCCAGCAGAGTATTTTAATTATATTTTCTCTGCACTATTATTCCTCTGCCTGTAAATTTTGAATGATCTTGTGCCTTAATTGGTTTTGATAGTTTAAATGTATCATTATCAAAGTTGATTAATTTGGCTTCATAGCATAATAAGAGCAGGGTTACTGTAGTTCCCAGAATCAACCCACTGAAGTGTTGACTGTCATCGGTTAGGAAATTTTTGTTAGTCGTACCTTTGCCTGGATCTCTTAGCAAGAGAGCGCTGTATTTTTTTTTTTTCAAAGAATGATTTACTGTATTTTTATACACAGACACATAACAATAAAACATGTTTATCATAGAGACAAAAAAAATATTAGATTTTGGTCTCCATGATCTATTTTGGGATTGTTAGGAACAAAGATATGACAGCCAAACCTGAAGTCAGAAAACTAAAGTGGATATTAAAATGAAGTAGGAACATTGTCACACATGCAGTGTACACCTTGTTTCTCAGTGTCATCTGGGTCATCAATTTTGTTAATATTTGTGTTGTCTTGACTAAGCTCCTACTAAGAATAGGACACAAATGTTTTTTATCCTTCAAGGCCTGGCTCAAATGCCACTGCTGTGACACTTTTCCTTGCCCCTCTGGCTACCTTCCAAACTACAGCTGATCTTCCCCTTCCATATACTCTAGCTCTTTCCTGACATTGACGAGTCTTACAGTTCCTTACTACCTGCTGACCTAAGTACCAATAATAAAGTAGGTTCAAACATACCTTTAAAGCTAAGTTCACTTAAAAAAAAAATAGTAAATATC